AGGATACAAAAGGCGCTTTTGTGGCTCAAGGAGCATAATCCACTGTATCGGCAGATCGAAATAAGCAGCCAGAATCTGGAGCAGTATGCAGATGCTGTCGATGAGATACCTAGGGCTCTGCTAGATGACATGGAGCAATACGTGCCGAATGCCCAGGACGTGATCCATACGGGGCACTATGTGCCGTCAGCAGAACGAGGAGAGTCAGATAGTCGAGACATTTCAATAGGGGATATTATGGATTCTTTGAGGGCAACGGATAAGGCTGAAACGGGAAATAGCCCGACTGGGGACACGGAGGACGATATCGATCTGGAGGCTGACGCAGAGGTGCGGATTCAGGAAGAGATTGGGGAAATCACCTCGTCCGGGATGATGGCGGTGGACATTCCTCCAGAGGCGACAGCTTTCGAAAAGCTAGAGCATCTGAGCCGGGCTATGCATTCGGAGAGAGATACGGAAGGGAAGCCCATCGACGAAGGGGCGCAGCCGGAGCAGTTTGTTTCCTTGGACGGGGATTCGGAGCCATTCATTGCTAACCGGCGTGGGGACGACTTCGAAGACACACTTGCGCCTGACTTTTTCCCTAACGTCTTCCCGTGTCTCTTCCCGTGGGGGAAAGGGGGGCCGCGGAATCTGGAGGGCGGCGGCGTGGCTGCAATAAATGAGAAGAAGGAACGAGACTTTACCTTGAGAGCTTGGGCGCGCTTCTGCCTTCTCCGGTTTGGTGGGTATCGGTGGCATCCAGGACGTGAGAAGTGTTTTCTAACCAGCAATGAACAGGAGACCATTTTGCAACGCATTCTATTTTCCCCCTTTTGGTCTTCAATATGGATCTCCGCTCGAAGAACCGTCAGATCAGCGGTGCACGGATTGCCAAGTCGTCCTTCCTGAAGTTGGAGAATATTTTGCCCACTCTGACGACCAGCCGGCTTCGGGCAGCGGAGAGGGAATTTATGGAAACTCGAACCACTACCGACAGGGATATTGAGTTCCTGCTTCGAGAACTCAACGCTTTCGGTTACCGCCATCCTCTATCGAACGAAAGCAGGATTCTCATGCGGCGGAAAATCAAGTCTCTGTGCCTCAAATACGGCATGCCCAGCATCTGGTTCACAATTAACCCGAATGACCTCAACAATCCAGTGAAGCTGCGGCTTGCAGCCCATCGAAAGTCCTCCGCAAAACAGGCGGAGGAAATGTTGGAGAAAATCAGGCAGGGGTTCGGATATCACCATCTCAGTATCAGCGATCCCGTCAGTTCCGCCATCTTTTTTCACCGGGAGATCGAGGCGTTTTTCAAGCATTACGTTCGAATCGGAGAACCGTCGGTTTTTGGGAAGGTGTCCAAGTACTACGCAACTGTAGAGACGAATGAACGCGGAGCGTTACATCTTCACGGGCTGATGTGGCTCCACGGTAATCTTTACCTGCCCACGTTGCTTGAGGACGCTTGCAAGGAGGGGGAGGAGGAGTATCGGCGCAAGACTTGCCAATACATCGACGACGTCTTTTGCGAAGTAGGTGCAAGGTGTGCCGCGGCACAATGACCTAGTTTGTTAACTGATGATAGGACATCGATGAGGAGAGCGGTCGCCGCTGGCCGCGGTCCAAGTCACCGTACGCTTGTGTCTGGGACTTGATGAGCGACAAGGAACGGCTCGGTCTGGAATTTGAGGAGCAAGCCAACCTTTGTGCCTGGCGGTGTCAGTACCACACGTGCGGAGCCACTTGCGTGAAGTATTCATACCGTCAGGCGGCTGCCGAAGGGGAGACTCAAGGACGGGGGAAGAAAAGAGACTTGTGCCGATTCAAGATGCCCCAAAAATGCTATGCGCGCACCGAGATAACCGAGCGCGGACTTGTGCATATCAAGCGGTCCCATTCACGGATTAACCGATGGAACAAAGCCATGGCGGTTGGCCTACGGCACAACTTCGATCTCGCTTTCCTCAACACGCGCTCACAGGGGTTGTCAATGATCTATTATGTCACGAATTACGCGACCAAATTGAACACGCCAACTTGGAAACGGTTGTTCTTGGGCGCCAGCGTATTAGAATCGCTCAAAGGCAACCAGGACGCTGCAGATGGTACGGCGAACAACACTGCAGCAGCAGGGCGTCAGCAAGTGCGCAACAACCGCACGCGACAGTTCTTCAACCGTTGGGCGAACAAGATATTTAGTGATCGAGAATTGTCATCCGTGGAGGTCTGCTACCATCTACTGGGATTACAGACAGATTTTACGGACAACACGGAGTGGGAATTTGTTAATCTCAACACCCTCTACTGGGCGGTTTTCCGCCACTGGCCGGGAATGCAGAAGCTTGCCAGTGACGAGATGCATCAGGACCCTTTGCCGGAGTCAGTGGTGTTCACAGACCTGGGGCCAAAGCTTTCATACTACGCTGCCTATCCACATCGCGGGGAGGCTCTCGCAGATTTGAGCTTTTGGGAGTACATGTCATTCGTATCTCTGCGTCGACGAGGTACAAGTATCCCCGCCAGGGCAACTCGTGTTTCGTTCAACACCAAGACTGAGCTTGCTGAGAGGTGGGTGCAAGTACTTCGACACCCAGATACACTGGCTACACCGGTCATAACGGGATATCTGGGGACAGACTTGGAAGAAGATGTCGAACATTACCCTCAGAGGTAAGTAGAGTTCCAGCATGGAGGAATGAAGATCGGTTAATATGTCAACAGAAATCCTGTACTTCTATTGGCCCTGTTCGTGCCCTGGGATGAGTTCATTCAACGGGAAGAACTCCCACTAAGTCTTTGGAAGGAGATTGAGCCAGCTCTAAGGCCAGCCATCCAACAGCTGGTCAAATCGAGCAGCTTGATGAACAAGTCTGCCGAGGATGCGAGGAAGGATGCCCAGCTGTGGGCATGTCGCTCCGAGGGAGATGATGACATCGATGCTCCAGAGGAGGAATTTGAATCGCTGTGGCGGGGAAGCTATCAGCCGGACCCGGCGGTCGTTCAAACTCTGATGGGGAATATTCTTCGGCGACAAACCACAGAGCAACGTTCAATTACGAGGGAATGCCCGGTACTTGGCAAACTACTCGTGGCTATTGATGCAAATCCGGCACGAGAAAGTGATGATGGCATCTTGGTGCCCGGTCTCCCAGCTTCTGACGTCGCGGGTGACCGCATCATCGGCCAGAAGCTTACCCGGAGAGCCATCACCGTCATCAGGGCGAAACAAAGACAAGCCCACAAGCAAAGGATGGAAGAGCTTGAAGGGGGGGAGCTTACGGTAGCTGGTGAACCTTCCTCCCACGCCCAGGTGCTGAACGGATTTGGCGAAGGCGAAGTGGTATTTCCTGCACCTGACGATCGCCGCCTTCTCGCAGAAAGTAGCATCGCACTAGAACTCGGTCCTTCATCGTCCTACATGGCTCTGGGTCGGAAAGTTGCAGATCTTTTCACGCTGAACAGACTGCAACGCACTGCCCATCTGATGATGATGGAGGTCCTTGATGCACATCAAGGATACGAAGCCGAAAATGACGGGGGTCAACATCTGCAATACGTCGGCGGAGAGGGTGGCACGGGGAAGTCCCGCGTAATAGACGCAGTAAGGAGGGTGCTGGAAGAGAAAAACGAGCCGGGCGCAATAATGGTCACAGCAACGTCAGGGTCGGCCGCGGCGGGGATCAACGGCACCACCATACACTCCGCTCTAGGAATTGCACCGACCGGGGCTGACGGCGACGCCGTTGAAAAGGGCGATTCACTCACAGCATGCACGTATCAAGACGCGCAAAAGGCATGGCGATGGCAGAGAGTAAAGGTGTTTGTGGTTGACGAGGTTAGCATGCTCGGGGGGGTTCTCCTCCATCACATGGACGAGAGGCTGAGGCATCTAAGGGCGAGCAACTTGCCGTTCGGTGACATCCCTGTTGTCCTCTTTAGCGGGGATTTCTTCCAATTTGGACCTGTGCTACAGAAAAGCATCCTGTTCCCGTCTGACGCCCGCATAGGGAAGCTGTCTGCGGCGGCCCTAAATCACCAACACGCACACGAGCTGTGGCAGGGGTTCCAGCACGTGGTGATTCTCCAAGAACAGGTCAGAGCGTGCGGCGATCCAGAACTAAGGAATCTTCTAAGCAAGCTCCGAAACTTCCAACAGGACTCGGACGACCTCGCTCTCATCAACAGTAGAGTCATCAAGGACGGCAAAATCCCGTATGATGACGATGTACGAGTCATCACGCCTTTGAACAGACACCGATGGGACCTCAACTCGCAGGCGGTAATGATGTGGGCAAAGAGGAGGGGTAAGACGGTGTCGATATTCATGTCGTCGCACACGTGGACAGGAGGGCAGCCGTCTGAGGAGGAGATGATGAGAGTGTTGGAGCAAGGCGACGACAAGGACTGTCTCATCCCATCCATCTTCGTATACGCCGACGGAATGCTAATCATGGTCAACGAAAATATCTACCTTGGCTTGAAGGTTGTGAACGGCAGCATCTTCGAGGCAGCCGGCATTGTCCCCGATTGTCGGTACCGGCCGGTGCGTGTAAGTATTGCCGTCCCTGACGAACGAGACCAGGCGGGTTCTGAGATCGAAATGGACATCAATCTCTACTTCGGCCCCCCATCCGCCATCCTTCTGCAGTCCGAAAACACGGCGAGTTTCGCCTTTCCGGGAATACCGCCCGGTACCGTCATGGTATGCAGCAAGAAGGTGACGATGAGACCAGGGCGCAAGAGCCGGCTAAGAATGCGGTGCCAGCGCCACGGCCTACCATGCACTGCTGGGTTCGCCATTATCACGGGGCGAATCTAAGGTGCTAGTAGTAACGTAGTTGTGCCTTAAGGAGGAGTGAAGAGGAAGCTATCTAGACTACAGCTTTATGGTGCGCTAATGGTCTGTGCTCACGTGAGTGTCTTAGACAAGTCGTGATGGTGCTGTGACAGTATCCCCCCTCTAAACACCATTCGTCCTCGAATGGTTCTAAACCAAAGCGACAGAAACAAAGCTACCGAAAATGGACCCCGATCTGCTTCACCAGTTGTGTCGCTGCGAAGGATACTCCTTTCACCGTTGGAAGTGGTACTCGTCGTAGGCGGAGGCTTCGTCTTGGTTGAGCTGGGGGTTTCTTCACCCAGGTAGCAGGGCCGGGCTTGTCAGGATGCTCGCGGTGGAATTCTAGGAGTGTGTCGTCCTGTCCCTTCAGATCTGATGCTGGTTGCCAGCTTGGGGCATGGTATTTCCACTTGACGAGATACTGTAAGCCGTCCTTATTACGGCAGTCAAGGATCGAATCAAATAACCATTTCTCTACCACCTCTTCCGTTTCGTCGTCCCGCTCGAGGATGCGGCCGCGGATGTTCCGGGACTCGTTTTCATTAATCTCGCTCTGGCCAGGGAGCCCTATGCGGTTCCCGTCTTCGTCTGTAGAGACTGGTCGCAACAGTGAGTTGTGGAACACGGGAAATATGCGGATGCGGTCGGGCAGTTGGAGGCGACATGCGCGTGGGTACACACTAAGGATCTCATAAGGTCCCGTCCACTTATCATCCCCTTTCTTCATTGGTCGGTTGGTCTTAAGGTATTTGGTACTCAACCATGCCTCCTGACCGACATGGTATATAGGAGACTCCGTGCGGGACTCATTGGCATTCCGTTCATATCGGTTGATAGACTGCTGGGCTAGGGCGCGGAGCTGGTCGAGGATCCGTTCGAATCGCTCGGCCACAGTGTTAGCCTTATAAAACCCTCTCCTCTGTGCCATGGAGAGGTTCGGCGGGCATGGATCTGCAGGTTCTATGCCAAGGCGCGGATGGAAGCCATAGTTTGCGAAGAACGGCGAGACGCCAGTTGTGTCTGATGTGGCATTGTTCGCGGCAAACTCAGCCAGCGGAAGCCAGTCCACCCAGTCGTTTTGGTGGAAGCTCATAAACGCGCGGAGGTACTGCTCTACCCCTGAGTTCATGCGCTCTGTCTGACCGTCTGTCTCGGGGTGGTAGGCCGAAGAATGCTTCAGGGAAATACCAAGTCGTCTGGATAGCTGTCTCCAGAATTCGGATACAAACTGGGGGCCACGGTCGGAGACGATGTTGTCTGGGGCTCCGTGTAACGCATAGACTCTACTCACAAACGCGTCGGCAAGCTCATCAGAGTTAAGGGTTCGCGTGGCGATAAAGTGGCGCATCTTAGTCAGACGACACACAATTACCAGGATATGTTTATACACAGACTGAAAGCGTTTACAGTCAGGCAAGGGCGTGATATAATCAACAGAGATATCTGACCAGGCACGAAACGGGACGGGAAGCGGTTGTAAGAATCCAGGCGGGGCAGAACGGGATGTCTTCGTGCGCACACAGAGGTCGCATCCTTTTACGAAGATCTCGACATCTTGTGACATTCGTGGCCACCAATATGTCCGCGTGATTAAGTCGAGTGTTTTGACACGGCCAGGATGCCCTCCTGGTCCCGATGAGTGCGTTCTGTAGATAACTTGGATCTTGGCTTCGTCGGTGGGGGGTAAAAACAGGCGGTCCCGGTAGTAAATCCGGTTACCCCGGACTTTGCAGTCCTGCATGGCTATTCGTAGCTCTCTGCGAATCGATTTGGGCCAACGTTTGACGCTGGGGTCTCGTAGTGCTGTCAGCATAGTCTGGGCGAGGTCGGAGTTGTTATATGCCTGGTCAATAATGTCGTCAATGGGTCTCTCCAGATCCGGGGCAAGGGTGGTCACGGGCGCCGCTGCCATGGGAGTCGTGTCATCAATGTCGCCGAGTAAGTCTGCGAGAGCGGACGGGTCGAACCTGTCCCGGGGCAGCAGGGTCTTCCTTCGCTGTTTCAGGCGATCGTCCTCAACGTCAGATTTGGACGGCATATCCTGGGATCGGCGGCTAAGAGCGTCTGGTCGAACGGCTTTGGACCCTGGACGGTAGATGATGCGGAAGTTGAACTGGGAGAGGAACTTGGACCAGCGAACCTGACGCTGATTCAGAACCTTGGTTGTTGTGAAGTACTCGAGGTTCTTATGGTCTGTCATGATCTCGAACTCTGACGCGTTCCCTTCGAGCTCCGGTCGCCATTCTTCTAGGGCTTTGATGATAGCGAGTAGTTCCTTATCATAGATCTCGTAATTGCATTCGGCTGCGGAGTGCTTAGAAGAGAAGTACGCAACAGGTCGTAGGCTGCCATCATCGTCATACTGAGACAGTACTCCACCAGAGGCCCAATCGTAAGCGTCTGTTTCCAGGACAGTTTTCCGGTTGTAGTCAAAAAAGGCAAGGGCGGGACCTGTGGTGAACGCGGTCTTCAGTTGCATAAAGGCGTGCTGCTGCTGTTCGGCCCAGCGCCAGGCTGACTCTTTCCGTAGGAGGTCGTTCAGGGGTCGGCAGATTGAGGAGAAATCCCGTATGAAGCGGCGGTAGAAGTTTGCGAATCCGAGGAAACGTTGGAGTTCGCGCACGTTGGCGGGCTTCTCCCACCCAGTAACCGTCGCCACTTTGTCTGGGTCCATCTGGATTCCATCACTAGCTATAATGAGTCCCAGGTACTTGGTTTTTGTTGTTTCAAACTCGCATTTGTTAATTCGATTTGCAAGCCCGCTTCTATCAGGCGGTCTATAACCTCGCGGACGTGTTGGCGGTGTTCCTTGCGCGTTTGTGAATAGACTAAGACATCGTCGAGATAGGCCGTACAGATCTTATCGAGCAGGTCGTACAGAGTATGGTTGATATAGTGTTGGAACGAAGCGGGGGCGTTACAGAGACCGAAAGGCATGACCAGTGATTCGAAAAGGCCAAATCGTGTGATGAATGCGGTTTTCCACTCGTGCCCCTCGGCAATGCGTAGCTTGTTGAAGGCAGCGATAACATCCAGCTTTGTATAGTACTTGGCGTGGCAGAGCGCGTCTAAGGTTTCGCGGATCAGCGGCAGCGGGTACCTGTTCTTGATTGTGACCGAGTTGAGTCCGCGGTAGTCCTGACAGATACGTACGCCACCACCGGGTTTCGCGGCCAGGAGAAGGGGTGCTGCACATCGGGCGCGCGACTCACGGATGAATCCCTTAGACAGGTTATCATCAAGCCACTTCCTAACAACAAGTAGCTCTCTAGGGGATAACGGGCGGTTCTTCTGGTATGGGGGCTCCCTGCCGGGGATAAGTTCGATTGTATGATCCCAACCGCGTCGTGGAGGTAATTCATTCGCTAGATGGGTCAGGAACCCAGTTATTTTATCTTGCAGCCACTCAGGAAGCCTTGCTTTAATGTCTTCGTGGGAGAGGTCCGGTTTCCCTTTCAAGAACTTATCAATGTCGGCGTCCGTCACGCGTCGCAGGTGTTCCTGACTGTAGCAGTCATCAAGGAAATCGTGGAACGCACTAGGGAATAGTTGGGAGATGGCTGCGTGGTCTCCGGGTTTTTCGAGGATATTGTGGAACACGCTCTCTGGCAAGTCGGGGAGTTTTAGCAAGGGAGGTTCCGTCTGGATAGCGTCGAGTTCGGGCCATGTGATCTTCATACACTGGGTCGCGCCGCCTTTGCAGAACTGGAGAAAGTTGGTGGCGGCTAACATCTTGATATCAGACAGATCAGGCCGGTCATATGGATCAGGCGGACACGTCCCATTCGGCGTGGGTGGAATTGGCACGCTGAGCTGCGGCATTGGCGGAGCATGATGTTCCTGGTGTACTGGGCGCCGACTGCCTGCCTTCAGGGTGACGGCTGCTGGCTTTAACTGTGGCCTGTTGGGGATCATCCGGGCCCGGGTCTCAGGCTCCAGCGGAAAACGGGGGCGGTTCGGCCGAAAAGTGCGGTAGTGGTCTTGGCCGGGAGTGAGAGTCTGAGGGATATCTAGTTCCACTCTTCCCTTGGGGTGGGGCTCCTCGTCGTCGCTGTCTTCAATAGAAGGCGGCCGGTAGGAGGAAGCGGTTCGTGTAGAATCACCACTCCCGTAACCTTCATCTTCAGTGTCCTCGATGTAGGCCTGATCCCGCTGGCGGGGGGGCTGGGACTCGGTAGGTGACGCAGTATCGTGCGGCCTGGGCCTGGCACTGGGTACTGTCGGTGCGAAACATGGTGTAGAACAGCAGCGAGTGAGGCAATACTGTGACTGGAAAAGTAGAGTCATTCTCGCCCAGTCGATTGTGGGGTTGTGACGTTGGAGCCAGGGGAGTCCAAAAATAAGCGGAGTGTCTGGGGATAGCGTGGTAATAAAGAAGACGCAAGGTTCGATGTGGTTCCCCATACTCACGGGGAGGATGACGTAGTGGGTAATATTGTCAGCGACTTTCCCATCGGCGAGGATCAGGGTGCGTGGCTTTGGTAGCTTCTCGGTTTGGATCTTATTAGTGCGAATAAAGCCGCGGTCGGCGAATGCCCGCGCGGAGCATCCGCTATCGACTAAGCTATTCACTTGTACGGGTTGTTGGTGCGCAGGGAACAGTGTGGCTTGAATGAGTAGCGATTTGCTATTTATGGATCTGAGAACAAGAGGTTCATTGCCACAAATAGCTTTGCGGATCCACAATGGTAATGAGCTTGTAGGCGTTCCTGAAGACCTCCGGGCGCGACGGTGCCCGGAGGTTAGGCGTTTCCCTCAGTGTGGCTAACAAACCGACAGACCTAGACCGGCTCCTCCGGTCTGTCGGTCTGGTTTCACCCAGACTCTTGGTCTGTCGGTCTGGGTCTGTCTGGAGCTGGGGGTCGGTCGGTCTTGGTCTGATGGTCTGGTCCCACTTTTATTTTTATTACAGTATCGACAGAAGTGGTTTTTGCTTCGTCGACATGCTACGTTACTAACCCTCTCGATAACTACTGCTTTTGAAGTTGATCAGCCTCCACTGCCTCTGGAGACAGTTGGTTTCGCTCGTCAGTGATCATCTTCTTTGTCTGGCTAAACACTCTCTCACATTCAGCACTCATTCCAGGAATAGAGAATAGATCTAGCGCCATCCGATACAAGACTGGATATTCATGTTGATGTCGCCTCCACCATTCCAGAGGGCTCGCAACGTCAAGATCCTCGGCATAGATTTGCCGTGTCTGGAATCTGTCAAGCTCGCTAACTGCCTTGGCCTTCTTCCGCTGTGCATTCAGCGAGCTGATTGACCTCTTCCCAAACGAGCTGTATTCATTAGCATCAGTATCGATGCCATCATCATCTTCCGAAAACCCAGTCTGAGCTTCCGTTTCGACTTCAGCGTGCCGCCGGTATTCATCAAACAGATCACTGACAGCCGACTGCATGTCATTATACCATTGAGGCTTACCCATGGCCTTCTTCCAGTGCCTCTCAAAGTAGTCGTATCCGTAAGAAGGATGTAGCGCTAGAGCTGCTCGGTAGACAGGTGTCCTATCCGACTTGACGTAGTAGTCTTCAAGCTTAGCCCACCCGCAGTCAATACCAGACTTAAAATGAGAGGCATCTTCAAGTCGAGTTTCGTACGCAGCCTGCTTGAATTTAATAAACAGGTAGTCCATCGTCTTCAAAGTCTCCCGCACGGCACCGTGGCCGCCTTTTGCCCCCGGTTTATTAGCATTGCCCTCTATTGTCTTTGTAAGGATGTAAAACGGTTTCAGGAACTCGTAGAAACGCTCCAATTTAACCCAGTCCGCAGCGTTGAGAAAGTCTTTTGTTAGATCACGGTGATTAGGGTCGTTTCTGGGCTTTTGCCAGCGGGATTGATAGAGCTCGATCGCGCTGCGAAGCTCGAGTGCTAAAATAACAGGTAAGTCGTCAGCGATTGGAGACAATGCAGTAATATAAACTTACCGCGTTTGATCATCATATAAATGGAGTTCCAGCGTGTCTTGCCGTCAACAATGATTTCAAAAGTAAAAATGGTATCATCACCTGCGAGCTCGGTTTGCAATTGCCGAAGAGCCTGTCGTTGCTGATCTGTCCGACGGATGTAGGTAGCAAGGTTATGGAGCTTACCGATAGCTCCTTTCTTGGCCCAGACTTCGAATCTAAATTCATCAGTGGCCCCACGAAGCTCTGCCTCAAAGGTACTAATGTTTGAGCCGAAGATAGCAGCCCGGACAATGATGCTGATAACGTGGCCAATGCAACGCAACCTGCGACGACGGACGTCCATTGGAAACCATCTAGCAAGCGTTTCTAAGCAGGTATCGTTACTCTCGGCGTTATCGAGCATGAAATACCCAAGCTTTGAGCCCAATTCATACTGGTCGACCACCTCTTTAACATAGAAGGCTATATTCTCACCGGAGTGTGGGCCGACCAGGCGCGGCAGTCCCAGAAGCACGTCGCGTTTCTCGCCTTCAATGTCAACAAAGTGACCGACGATTCCGATGTAATTGGACGCATTTGAAGCAGTCCATAGATCAAAACTTAAATGAATAGAGCTCTTCGCGTTCTTGACGAGATTGAGGATAGTTTGCTGTCGGGCGGCAAAGGTTTGGCAGATCCACGAACAGACGGTGGTATGATGCTCGGGTAGTAGTTGACTTGCAAGTTCTCCACCGTTTGCTATTAGCCACTTAAGCCGTTCGCTTGACGCCTGGCGGAATGTGACATCTTCGAGGATGATCCAGTCCACAAAGCGAGCTTTCCATACCCTTTCATCAAAGTGGGAGGTGATTTGAAAGCCTAGGCTGGCCTGCCGCGATAAAGAAGGTGAAGAAGAGGATGCTGACGAAGCTGCCAGAGTAAATGGGGTACCTAAACTGGGACGAGTCTTACCAAATTCAGTGATTTGGTGCTGTCGCAGCAGGTGCCTCGCGGCGTGAGATGTGCCTGATGAGGCATACAGAGCAGTCGAGTAGCTCTTCCTTTCGTGGCAGAGCCTGCAAAGCCAGTAACGCACTCCGTTGTGCTCTAAATTCGCCCCATGCCGATATATCCTTGACTCTTTGATCTTTGTGCCGACGACCCGTTTGTGACGTGGCCTTCTTTTGGCGCCTACGAGACGTTTTCCACAGTGCCAGATGTTCCCCCAGTCAATATCAACTTCGCAATGCGGAGCGTCCGTCTCGAATAACGGAGGGCCTGGCGTGGCATGCGGACTGCTGTCAAGTGGGGTTGAAGGTGGAGGTGATGCAGTAGATGGCGGTATGGACACGGGGCTGGAGGCCCTGCTAGACGACATGATGAGTTAACGCGGGCAAGCATGCGTGTGTATGGATGACTGCACAAAGGGGAACGAATGGTTTTAGGCCCTTAGAGAAGTGCCACGTGGAGAAGACATGCCCCTTGCAGTTACTTAAAGGGCGGCGGACCAATAGTGACGCTGGAACAGCGGCCCACTCGGCCCAACCCAGACCACCCAGACCAACCCAGACAGACAGCCTGCTCCAGTCTGTCGGTCTGATGAAAATCGCTGGTCTGTCGGACTGCGGTCTGGCAGACCACCCTCAGACGGTCTGTCAGACGGTCTGTCTGTTAGCCACACTGGTCAAATCTTCTGTCAATGATTCGGGGCGGTCTTTCTCAGTCAGTTTTGACAGTGCCAGAGTGAAGGACGTTGTAACGGGCCAAGCCGCTTGAACGGCGGCTGTGCCGCCTATCACTAACTCCCGCGGCGGGTTGACTCTAGAACCTTCTGTGGAGGTGTATGGAGAAGATATAAGGCGCTATTATTGTGCCACGGAGTAACTATGTAGACTTTCTTTTCTTCTTCATCTTGATAGTAAACAGCATAGGGACTAGTTAGTTGAATCAACTCACTAGAGGCCTTTCACAGACGTATGGAGCGGAACCCATTTTTACTAAACTAGTGAATTTCAACTTGAGGTCAAAATTGGCTTCCAGACTACATCGAACTCCCAGCCAACCGCCCCAACCACTAATCCCGGTCGAAGGAGGGTTTAAGTGCAGAGCGTGCCCGTTCATCACGACGTCGGAGAAAATAGCCAATACTCACTGGATAAGTGCGGCGCACACGCTGGAGGGTGGTCGTTATACCCGAGTTGACGCCCAGTCATGGATGGCCGGAAAGTATGCACGATACTGGACGGTGGGCAGCCAAGGTTACGACGCGAGCGCCGACATCGACGCGCGAGATGAAGCAGGAAACGAGAGAAGTCCAAACATGCTGGAACAGATTGTACGGCGAGGGGCAAAGCGAATGCGCGAGGCAAACGAGCAGTGGCGCGGGTCAGGCCCAACGGGGTGCGGATTACGACAATGAATTCGTCAAGGACATGCGCTGGGTCGAGTTCAGCGAAGGAAAGGACCGCGCTGTTATTTTCGCGGCCACGAGATGGATCAACGCCAAAGCCATAGATGGATTGGCAGAAGAAGCACTGGCGGAAGATGTCGAGCAAAGAGAAGAGCTTGTGATGCTATGTGACAGTATCAAGCGAGAAGTTAAGCGATGCTCGCCACGGATACACGCCGTGCCCAAGCCGATTCTACAGCGGCTCCACGGGATCGAAGACGGCAAGAGCAATCCGATACCGTTCAGGATGAGCAGCGATCCCGACACGCTGTCAAAATACAGCATCGTGTGTCAGCGATATCTTTGCTTCTGCTGGCGGGCGTACAGGCTCGGGAGAGACGAAGCACGAACCAGGCTCGCGATGCGGTTTACGGACGAGCAATGGGGCTTGCTATGCGACATGGGCCATGTGTTCCAAGAGAAGCAGCAAAACAGTAGAGCGGATGGCAACGAAAGCACGGACGGACATAACAGCGATGCAGAAGGCACAGACGGCTATGACAGCGACATAGAAGGCTACAGACAAAGCAGCCAGCGCGAGTCGAGACGGAGGTCCGACCATGCCGAGCTGGATGGGATCATGTTTAGGTTCTTGATTGCATCTTTCAAGACTAAAGTCGGCGGCGCCATGTACACGAACGCACTGCTTTGTTTCTTTGCGGCCACAGCCATCAGGCAAGGGGGCGAGGGATTCCAGCCCGCTGGCGTGTTTACGGCAACGGTGGCGGCGATGCTGTGGATGCTACGACTGTTCTTCTTGGAAGACTCGTTCAGCGACATGCCGCTGAACGTGGAGGACATTCCGGTGGAGAAGATGGAATGGTTTTCGGAGCAGCACGCGCAGTGGCTGTCTGTCGACCGGTTCACGGTAGCCGCGACCATGATCAACTGGATGGCGTATGGGAAAGGACACCGGAACAAAACCATGGCCACACCGACGGTACGATGGACGGACGACTACGAGACACTCGTCCACAACGGCGAACACGTGCGGATCCACGAGTTTCAACGAGCTGCATACCGGGTGAAGTTGAAAACGGACGAGGTGATGGGGACGCTGTTCGGGGGCCAGTGGTCGACGATTGGGCCGAACATGGATCTGCGGAGCATCCGAGACGACAGACCCATCTCGGTGCCGGGAACGTAAGCCTAAGGTCCCTCAACGCCGGGCTTCTTAGTGGGCCGCCAATCACTCCCAGGGCTCGGCCGATCGTTAAGGTTTGCGGCTGAGAATAGCGACCGTTTTCAGAAGCGCCATGCTGAAAAATGTTAGTCGTGGTACTTACATAATGAGGGTGTCGAACGGGAACTAACGTAGAGCCTTGTCTAGCCATTTCGGAAGAGCCGTGCCGAAGAGGGTGTGTGGGACAGTGGGACTGAACGGTAGATGTCAAACGGGAAATAATATTCTAACAATTGTCAAAGATGCGTACCGCGTGGTGTTATAGTTAGGCCACGGTGGAATTCTATTAATTCCTGGTCATGTAGTTTCGTGATGGAGATGTTGCGGCGTGTTACACGGACCTGGAGGTCACAATAATTACATAACATAACATGAGGGTTCCAACGCCTAGTTGGAGCACAAGGCCTCAGGTGGTGTTGTCGTTGTTATTGGACACTTGTCACTCCTAAAATCCTTGCTAATATAGTAATATAGTCTACAATGTTTTGACCTGGAAGATGAACTTGATGAAGCAGACATGACCCCTTTAACTGAAGATCCAAATCCTTCTGTCAGGTCAATAACAAAGTGGCATTACTCCGGAAGCGTGCGCTAGGCTCTTGAGCAGTGTCCTGAGCTCCCAGGGGAGAGGCAGGCAAAAGGCTCCATAATACTTGCCGCGCTCAGCTTTGGAAAGGCGTTAAGGGTACGATAATTTAGACGCCGCCAAAGCATATTACCCACAGAGGGTATGAGGTCATTGTGCCAAAAAGTATGTCGTTTGTTGTTCCTATTATAAAGAGTGTATATAAATTCCTGGGCGGGACCAAGGTTCATATCCACGGGATAGTACAAACCTCGCGTGATTCTTGACCATCTATATTCTGCCTCGGTGACATCTTGTTCACTTTATATCTAAAAGCCCGCCAGGATGCCTAATTCTTCCGAAGGCCTGCCTCAATGGGGTTCTTCAAAGGCTGCTATAGCAAACCAGTTTGCAAGCTGGCATTGGCCGGATATTCTTTATTACGGAGCTATTATAAAGAACAAATTTATCGTCATTTGCTCAGGGCTTTGGGAGTGCATTCTACGTTACGGAGATATCATTAAGAAAAAGATTCTGGCCGTTTGCTCTGCGCTCTGGAAGTGCATTTTACGTTACAGAGATATCCTTAGAGATTGGACTCGTGACGAAATCAAGAGCTGGAAGGGACGGAACGAACTGCCTCGAACTGACCAATTGAGGCCTCGCAAGTTCTATATGGAAGTAATTACTACCGTGGCCCCTGTGGCGACATTCGCTGGAAGCGTGACTCTGGCGACGCAACTCATCATCGCATGTCCGAATACCCGACTGGAGGCACTGCTCTCCCTTGCTTCTCAGTTGTTTTTTGTGTCCCCTATTTGCCTTCTTTTAATTTATCTACTGATATATGGATACGAGGATAATACCCATATAGGGAGTGACAGACGAAAACTGATTCTTATGCAGTTTTTTGTGGTTTCACTCTATTTATGTGCGGCTTTTATTCTCCTTTCCGTTGCCATTGAGGTTGCGGCGCATGACACTGTGGGAATCGTGGGCATTGCTCTCATGGGGTTTTTGGTCTTGACTTTCATCGTAATCCTCTTACTTCCATCGCATGACCATGGGACACTAATCCAGCTCAGAGTCCATAGAGGAGATGGACAGCAGCGCCCTTATCTTATCTGGGCTAGGAAAATGTTATTAAACGAGATATTTGACAGCGGACAAGTCCGAAACAAGGACGACAAACCAATACCAGTGGCGGAAGATCCTCCTGGCTGGGCAGTGAAAATGATTTTTGTCTGCTTTATCGTGGAAATTGTTGCCGCATGCATCATGCTTGGGTTTGGCAGCAAAGCAGCTGCCGATGGAAACCCAGGACCCTGCCTACCACCACCACCACCTGTATGCCCTAATTGCACCGGGAATTGCACTGTTTCCATCACCGCGGTTTGTCCCACGCCATCCTGCGCCGTGTGCACAGTTACTACAACAGTGAGGACGGATCCACCCTGAAATAATCCACCTGTGTACTTTAAACATCTGCGGGATAGGAACCCGCACCTTACAACTTGAATAAATACACAACTTTTTCTCTCCATTTTTGAGCACGCAAAAAAAGTGCGACAGGTGGGGCTCTATTGCCCAAAAAGGGAAAGGGAAATTTGTATGTGCGTACTCGTACGTACGTACGTACGTGTACTAAGTCGCATCACTACGGCCGGCAGGCCGGGGCCGAAGGCGAGAGTGCAAACCGAGCCACACCGGGCTCAGCCCGTTACATATCTGGCTGTCGACCGCTAGATATCGCTTGGGGAGGGAGGCTTGATGAGTATTACATGGCTGCGATATATTCCACCGAGGATGAGATGCAGGTGGTATAAGGGGCACGGATTTATTAAGCCAGAAAATCGATTGCATTGAAAGAATGAAGTTGTCGGATAAGACTGCCTCTGTTAGTTGAACAAGCAGACTTGACGTAATTGCTAGATGTCATAAAATCATCGATATCAGTAGTTGAGAGGCTGGGCAGGCGCCCTGATTTCATCAGGTGGCTGGGAAGTCTTCTAAACTAAAGATAAAAGACATGAACCCTTCTGAAGGATAGAAAAAACAACAACAATAATTTTTATTCAAAAAATAAGCTTAGTTAATGAGTCTCATAACGTGACAGAAGTGGAATCTGCGCGAGAGCTGGCTAGCGGTTACTTTCTCAACAGTCAGGGGCTTGTAGGGAGG